GGCCAATGTAAGTTAAATTGAACTTGTTTTGCACTTAAAAAGTTCCATCATGCAAAATTTTCTCATCTGTCTCCAGTAGTTTCCATATGGTGTAAATATAATTGCTTTAGAATTGTATTCCATTACAGCAATGACATCAGACCTTTGAGAAATGATGATATCACTGGTTTTCATATCCTTTTTGGCAACTTCTGTTAATGATACAACAATGTTTGGAACTTCTCCAAGCTGTAGCTGCATCAAAGCTCTATATTTCTTGGCTAAATCTCTTCGGTTCTGATGGGGGCAATGAACTAATCGATTGATGAATGTTTCCTATGAGAGGTAGCTTCCATGATCAAGAAAAGGAAGGTGAGAAAGGGGGTGACAGATGGAAATTGAAGCTCCATGAAGCTGAAGAAGATCCCACCCTTTTTCCTTCTTGTCGAAAGAAAATTATGAGTGTTTAATGAACAAAGATTTTATTCTGATTTTGAAGAAAGAACATCCACCATCTTAGATTTTTTTTTTTTATGACATGTGGGTCAGTAATATATTTGATCTTCACAGTGTTTTATCAACTTGTGAATAATTGAGCAAAAAGAATAACATAAATATGAGGAAAATAATGCTCAAATTATGTAAGTGTTTGTTGAATGTGATAAATGATATTAAGGGCAATAATTAAATACCAGTTAGCCACTTTGGAATGTTCTTCAAACGTGGAAGTCAGGGCGAATGGGTAGGGTAGGGGTTTAATATCAAGATTTCCATTTGGATTTTTTGGTTGACATTGCTATTATTAAGAGGGAACTTCATTTGCAATTCATTTTACTTCAATTCAGTTACTCGTAATTATTCAATCATAATAAAAAATTAGATATAAATTTTTTTTACAAATATAAATTTTATATAATTCATGACTTTGATTGATTAATTACAATATAATAATTATAATAATTATAAGAAATATGTTACATATTAAGATCACCCATTTGGTCAAAAACTGAGCGAATAATTGGTTTGATGCACATAGAAGAGACTATATTAATGTCGCATACTGGCAATAAATGCCTACTCATCAACTTGGTGGCTTGAGCTAGTAAGAAAATTAATGTTTCCAATCTTGATTAATGTGGCCAAATTATATCATTAGAAAGTGTTAGTTAAATACTAGAGAACAAAATCAAATGAATTAGGCATTAAAGTGAAAAGAAAAAAATTAAATGAAAAATTGGAAAAGAAAAATTCTTGTTCATTGTGCTTCTACGCAAGAGTTGAAGCATGGTAAAGAGTAGAACTTTTCAGGGTAACTCAAAATGGGATGAACTCAAAATTTGTCCCCACGAAATCAACTGAACTGTTATGAAACCTTTCAGGGTAAAACTTTTCAGGTTCAGGCCAATCGTTTGGATCTCTTCCAATTGCCCATGCATTGACAATGATTCTGGTCTTTGAACCTATCTCAAATCCATTAACCTCACAATTTTTGCTGCATTCTCTTGGAAGCAACAAAGGAAAACTGGTTGTAGCCTCAAGGCTTCTTTTTTAACTGATTTTAGATACCAGAGTTCATGAATGCCTGTTTCATTTACATTCCCTTTTTCTTCAAATACCCTTCTTATCTCAGCTTGTGCTTCTCTCATGATCCTTGGGTCTTTGATCATTTCCAACATTGCCCATTCTACAACTGTTGCTGACGTCTCGCTTCCTGTAGTGCACCACTAAAAACGTCCTACAAATCTAATAAATAACTTTAGGCCACTAAAATTTATCAATTTTTTTCTCAAGAAATTTGGTGGAGAAGAATTTGATTTTGAAAGAACTACAGAATTAGTGTGTCTACATATAACAAGTATGTTCATTATGAGTGTAAATGAGTTAAGTTATTCATAAGCTATTCAAGTTTGATTTAAAAAAATCAAACTTGAGCTACTTGAGTAACGAATTAAGCTGAATTTAAATAGTTTAATACTCTTTTAGAAAAGCTCTCAAGTCTAATTAAATTTTTATTTTTTAATAGATATAAGTATGACAAAAATATAATGTTTAATGTTAAATGTTAATATTTATAATTTTATCGAATAAAGCTCTACCCGCACAATTAAATTACAAACCAAATTCAAATATGAAAAATGAAACTAAATCAAGCTCGAATCGAACTTTGAACCTAAGTTTTCATATTGAGCGGAGCTTAAACTTAACAGCATATCCACTCAATTTGACTCAATTATACCCCTAATGTTCACCATTGAACACTATCCTCTAACTGCTTGAAGTTTAAGCGAATGGTATGACATATTTTAATCAAGAGTTCATTTCTATACACTGCATGGAGTTTTTAACGAATCATTATTCAAAACAAGTTGATGCATTCTGATGATTAACTCTAATTTCACTCTAAAAGTTGAGGAAAACTTCTCCAAATGAAATCTGAAATAGATCTTGGTAGTACCAAATAATTGTGGTAGTTAACTCTAGAAAATAAGTATTTTGTGAAAAATTACTCGATTGTTGCAGGGTCAATGTAATGAATGAAATGATTAACATGATGTGGTCTGTTGGTAGAGTTCCTGGGGTCCAAATCCTGGCAGCTTAAGCCATGAAAAAAAAATGGAGTGAATGAAATTGACTCACCAGGATGATGGCTTTGATGTTGTTGTCAGTTAAGGGAAATTGACCATCTTCCAGGAGCCTTAAAAGAGCATCAACTAGATCTTCCTCTACATCTTTCCGTTCTGCCTTTTGCTTTTGCTCTACTTTCTTTGTGGTCATTAACAATATTCCAAGTATCCTGTCTGCTTCTACATGAACCTTTTCGACTTTATGCATTAGACCACACACAAGATGCAGAACTCTAAGTGAAGGAAAAAATTCAGCAATGAAGAAACCTGAATTTATCTTGGTATATTCTGAAATAGCTGATGTGAATACTTCTTAAGCTGCCCTTGCTGTTATGGTATATGTCATTGAGAAAACTTTCACACTGAGATTGACAAGCCGTCCATCATTTGCTAGCATCGATTCGATCATATTCAACACTTCCTCTTCTCTTACTGATTCGAATGAACGGACACGAGCTGCACTGTCTCCAATAGTTTCCGTAAGGCGCAAATGCAATATCTGTATATTCACAAGTGGTGATCATTAGAACCATTAGAAGAGGCCTATAAGCAAAGATTAAGTCATGTGTTTTCATATTCTGTTCAGCAATTTCTGGAGATGAAACTGCCACGGTGGAAATTTCACCGAGTTGCAGGTGCATGATTGGTCCATGTTACCTTGCCAAGTCACTTAGGGATCGACGGGGCAGCGAACCAGCAAGCTGGTGCAGGTTTCCTATCAGCGGCAGTTTCTAAGGCCCTGGAATCAACCTCTGAGTCAAATACGTATTTCTTGATTTCTTTACCCTTTTGATTGCCATAAGTAAAACGAGGAATGTGAAGATGGCCCGGAATAAGGGTATGTGGAACTCCATTAGCATAAAGAAGAGGAATTTGGAAAGAAAGAAAGAAATGAAATGAACTGATCAGTGATAATTTAACACCTTTCATATTATATATGTGTGATAAATAAGAACTGCTTCCATTTGTTTTATCGATTGTGTGGTTCAATGGCCTGAAAGTCAAATCAACTGTCATATTCAAATAGCATGATTTTCCTGTATGATGTTGCAAAACATTTGTCCACTTTGATTTTCTTTATTTTAATTTTTTTACTGCAATTGTTTCTAATAATATGGCATCTGACAGGCAGATGCTTGCAAATACTGTACAAAACTCTTTCAGATATCTATTAATTGTTCAATATTAATTTGATGCCATCATCACATTATTTTGGACATACTCGGATGCATTGTTTCAGAGTTTATAATCTTAATCTAACAGATTTTCCAACATTGTTTTAGTTTCATGTCTTGGCGCAGATGATGCCTCAATTCATGCAAATTATTATAGACACATGGCCCTACTCTGTTCATGTTATTTCTCCCTTTGCTGTTTCGATGGACTCAGTTTTTCACAATAAAATTGTGAATACAACCAAGCAGAGTTTCTGTCAATAAGATGGGTTAAGATTTCAAGAAAGATTCCCATGTAAGATATATATTTTTTTTATGTTTTTATAAAAGAAATTAAGATCTAAAAATAAAAAAAAATGATTATAGATATTAGAATTTAAATTAAAAATTTTTACATGTATTTTTAAAATAACTATACGAATTAACTGCTGAGTTCATTTTTCTTATTTAATTTTCTACACATTTGTTAATCCTTATTTACATCACTAACTTAAAATCAAAGCAAAGAGCAGCACATGTTTATCTGGTTTAGCAACACAACAAAGTTGATGGATTGAAAATTCACAGCCTATCAATCCACATACTAATTAAATTGAACAAATTAATAGAAATAAAAAAAGCAAAAGATGCCAAACCATCTGTTTCATCTAATATTTGCATGATGTTTTGAATCACATTCAGGCTATTTTTATGTCATCTCTTTGATGAGATACATCCCAAAAACTCACACGTTTACTGGTCAAAGCACAGCAATTATTTAGCTCACAGGTTTTTATTTTCTTTTGATTACTTGAGCAGTTCTTGGAACACCTTTAGTGTACATTGTTGTAGTATTGAGGCAAGGAATGGAAAAAATAAATAAATAAATAAAGAGAGAAGAAAGTAGAGAAGAAAATTGCAGAAAACTACTTTCTGCTATATTTTTTATCTGCTGAAATTATACAAAAAGCATTAGGTGTTGTAGTTAAGACATAGATAGACCTAACAATTCATGTATTTGTGATTGTCTAAATCTTTAATAATACAACAAGAGCACAATTCAAAATGATATTTCCTTATACCTTGAGTACTGTTTCACCGTCTGTACTCAATACTGATACAATTTTTTTCTTTTTGTCTCAATGCAACTCAGTTGTTAAGAGAAGAATAAGGGGTTGCAACCAAGAAGAGATCATTTTTCCTTCTAACTACAGCTCCAAAAACCTCATCCATGTCAAGATCTTCAAGCTTTTTCCACCTTGAAGTTTCCATCAAAATGATACAGCAGCTGTACAAGAGGTAACTCAACATTGGAAATACCATACACCATGCCAGGACACTTCCTTCTTCCAGCACCAAATGGGATGAATTCAAAATCAGCCCCCTTGTAGTCAATTGAACTATCAACAAATCTCCCTGGATAGAATCTGTCAGCTTCACCCCAATAGTCAGAATGCCTGCCAATTGCCCATGCATTGATGATGACTCTGGACTTGACTGGTATATCATATCCGTTGATTTTGCATCTCTGTGAGCATTGTCTTGGAAGTAGCAGAGGAAGAGGAGGGTGCAATCTCAAAGTTTCTTTGATGACAAGTTTCAAGTACTTTAATTCATGTAACCCTTCACCATCAACATTCCCTTTTCTATTGAAAACCTGCCTCACCTCTGCCTGTGCCTTCTGCATAACTCTTGGGCTTTTCACCATTTCGGACATTGCCCATTCTAATGTTGTGAATGATGTATCACTCCCAGCAATAAAAACATCCTGTAGTGGTATTAATTATTAAAAAATAGTAGGATTAAATTCTGTGAATTTTGCTTCATGAGTATAGAAAGACAAATAGTAACTTCTTTTTTTTTTTTTTTTGCAACAAAGTTTATTCATATAGTGGTGTTTGTTCAACATCTTTAATAATACAACCAAGTGGCACAATTCAAAATGATATTTTCTTATTACCTTGAGTACTGTTCACTGTCAGTACTCAATTCTGATACAATTTTTTTCTTTTTGTCTCAATGCAACTCAGTTGTTAGAGAAGAATACGGGGTTGCAACCAACCATAGATCATTTTTTCTTCTAACTACAACTCCAAAATCCTCATCCATGTCAAGATCTTCAAGCTTTTTTCCACCTTGAAGTTTCCAGTCAAAATGATATAACAGCTGTGCAAGAGGTAACTCAACATTGGCAATACCATACACCATGCCAGGGACACATCCTTCTTCCAGCACCAAATGGATGAATTCAAAATCGGCCCCCTTGTAGTCAATTGAACTATCAACAAATCTCTCTGGATGGAATCTGTCAGCTTCACTCCAATAGTCAGAATTCCTGCCAATTGCCCATGCATTGATGATGACTTTGGACTTGACTGGTATATCATATCCATTGATTTTGCATCTCTGTGAGCATTCTCTTGGGAGTAGCAGAGGAACAGGAGGGTGCAGTCTTAAAGTTTCTTTGATGACAAGTTTCAAGTACTTTAATTCATGTAACCCTTCACCATCAACATTCCCTTTTCTATTGAAAACCTGCCTCACCTCTGCCTGTGCCTTCTGCATAACTCTTGGGTTTTTCAGCATTTCTGACATTGCCCATTCTAATGTTGTGAATGATGTATCAGTCCCGGCAACAAAAACGTCCTGAAGTGGTATTAATTGTTAAAAAAGTAGGATTAAATTTTGTGAACTTTGCTTCATGAGTATAGAAAGACAAATAGTGACTTTATTTATTTATTTACTTATTTTTGTACAAGAAAGTTTAGGGTGAGGAGGAGAGGCATTAGCATTCTAGGGTCACGACAGATAGCAGACTTCAGAGAGTATTTACATTAGATTTATAGATTATCTAGAGGATCTGATGGCAAAAGGATTCAAATCTAAACATTACAAGTGAAGTATTCGAATCTTATCAACTTAACCAATCCCGTTAGATTAGATAACGATAACAAGTAAATTCAGAAGATCATTAATCAATGAAGCAAATTTTACAATGCAAAATAAAAAGTATATTAGAAATAGACTTACTAACCAAGATTACTGCTTTGATGTTGTCAGTTGTTAAAGGAAATTCAAGGTCACCATTCTCCTGAAGGGTCAAAAGAACATCCAGAAGATCATCCAATTCCTTCTCACTAGTCTTTGGCATTTCATTGCTAGCTTTATGTTCATTGATGACAATATCAAAGATCTTATCTACTTTTCGATGCAGCCTCTCAAGTTTAGGCCTCAATCCACTGAGGAACTGAAGAAATTTGACTGAAGGGAACAAGTCTACAAGAGTGAAACCTGAAACCGACCGTATAATTTCCCTGAAAAGTAATGTGAATTCATCTTTCTGATCTTTGCATTTCCCACAAAAAGCAGTCCTCGAAACAATTTCGTATGTGAGAGAACACAGCATGTTACTAAGGTTGACTGGTGATCCTGCTTTTGAAGAAATTGCTCTGACCATCTTTGATACCTCTTCTTCCCTAATTGGACTGAAGGATTGCACACGTTTTGAACTTAGCATCTCCAACACGCAAATTTTTCTCAGCTGCCTCCAATAGTCTCCATATGGTGAAAATGAAATGTCTGTTGAATTATAAGTTAAAATATTTGCAGAAACTAGAAGAGGCCTATTCGCGAATATGATGTCATGGGTTCTCATCACTTCTGCAGCAGTTTGTGGAGAAGAAACAACGATGTTTGAAATTTCTCCAAGCTGAAGGTGCATCAAGGGGCCGAATTTCTTGGCCAAATCTCTTAATGAATGATGGGGTAGAGAGCCAGCAATGAGGTGCATATTCCCGATGACAGGCAACTTCCATGGTCCTGGTGGTAGATTTTGAATCAAGTTGTTGGTCTTGAATCTCTTCCCTAGTTTCAGCAACATGAACAAGAAGATAACAAAAGTGAACAGCATTGGAAAGGAGAAAAACAGGTGCTCCATGGATGTAGAATGTTACACAGTCTTATGGCTTGCATTCCATCCACTTCTAAGTAGGTGATTTATGTAATGGTTCTGCATTGACTACAGTTTGTCCTCTAGTTCAGTGGAATCTTAACATCAACAAAGATTATAAAAAGATAATTTTTCTTTCAACTTGTTGGATTTCAATACTTTTACGTCAGTTTTTGTGGCCACTTATTTTGAATTCTCGACATTCTAAATACTTGTTAGAAAAGAAAAAATGATTTTCCTTTAAAAATCAAAGCAAATATTTGTTTTCAATTGATCTGTCAAATGTTGGATGCGGATTATTTTGGAAGATATAGCTTCATCATCAATTTTATACTAGTTTCAAATGTTCTGTCCAATTTCTAATATATTATTTGATTATTATGTTCAATGCACTAATTGGTCAATTACAACTTTTCAATGGAATTACTAATTCAAAGAATTTAGTATTAATTTAGAGATGTAGATAATGTTTTAACTTTTTGGTTGTTATGAAATTTCTTTCTTTTTGTTTTCTTTTTCCTAATTAATAGTATCAAAATATATTTCCTCCAAATTATTTTATCATTTTCCTTGTCTCTTTAACTTTCACGTGTATTAAGAATAAATCTTTGATTTTTGTGTATTTAATATTTTTAATTCAAATTTTTATATAATATTGATGTGCCATACTTTTATTTTTGAAAAGTAAAAAAATTTTAAAATATCAATTTGAAATATAGAAAAATAAGAGAATTAAGTGTTTAAAAATGAAAAAAAATTCTTTTAGGATATTGAAAAAAAGGACACAAAAAATGAGATGTGGAATAACTATATATAAATATATTAATTTAATAAAATTAATATATTAAATGGACACTCCTGTGAAATTTCTGGAGGTTTTAAGACTTGATAATGTTCATTTCTTCCAGCTTGCCAGTTCAATAACTGTTGTCAAAGCTTGCTTGAACAATAAACATACAACAGGATTTCAGGCATTCCTTTCTCCTTTTCTTTAGTCATTTATTATAGCACTTAAATTATCAATATTTTAATCCTGAAATTAAAAATCCGAAATTTAATTAACAGATGACTGTAGGTCTTCTCTTTACTCATTTCATCACACTTACTATGTCACAATGTTTATGTTTACCCTTTGGGCTATGGCTCCCAAAGGCCCCATTTTTTCTTTTTTTTTTGCTTTCAAATAATTGCTCTATATATACAATTTAAATTATTCGAGTTTTTCCTGAACCACAGAGGTTTCCATCTTCACGAATTACAAAGATTTCTAAAATACTATAATGGATGATTTTGCTTCGTCTTTGTTTTTCATAACTTGGATTGTTGTCCGCCTTTTGCCTTTCCTTTTAAGTGGTGGGGCTTGGAATTGCTATATTATATGCGGTGCTTTTCTTCTTCTCACTCAGGTGAACTCCGTTTGTTTCTTCGAGATTTGTATTAGATAGATATATTCACTTCTTTTGCTAGCTTTGAAACAATTCGGTTTAGCAAAAAATAAAAAATAAAAAATAAATAAAATACGAAGCCCACACCTCCTAATAAAAATTGTGTGGCTAAAATGACAACTTCATTTGAGAAGAACAAGGAGCTTCAAACGAGTAGTAGTTAGTGTTCTGAAAACAAAAACAAATAAAAAAATAAAAAAATTTCGTCCCATCTTCCCCTGCGTCCCATCTTATCTTGAACATGATCATTTTCTACAACCTTTTCTTTTTATAACATGCGCCAGAATTGCTATAGTTGGCTCGAATGCAAACAAAAAAAAAAATGGTCGAATCAAGCTAATCTGATTTGATAATAAAACGGACAACCAAAATCTGAAATGACTGAACTCTAAGCAACTCAAAGATTATTTCAAAATGGTCTAATTCCAACGATTCAATCTCAAATAACAGAGTATCAAATCTAAATTACTTTAAATCGAAATAATTCAATTTTTTTGTCCAATTTCCACCTCTACCTTACACCATTACTCCAAAACCATACAAAGTGAAGTTCACACTCGGAACCGACGGCTTTTGTATTTAAGCACGGTTATGGTTCAACTAGAGAGCACCACATCTTCAGGCAAAAGAATTAATGAAATGAAAAACAAACGCCAACCATTAAATTTTTTTTTTTCCTTGCGAGAACTAAAACAGAAGGAATCATGGAAAACCTCTTCGAATTTTCATCGAAGAAAACTCCTCCATAAAGTAAATTATTCGCTGGATATTTGGACAAATTGCAAAATGCCTTCTTTTTCGAAAATTATATTGGCAAACTGATATTTTTACAAAATATAAAATTTAACTCAATTGATTTATGTAATTATTTTTAAAAAATCTAATTCAGATTGTTATTATTTCAATTCTTGTAAACCCTTTCTCTGTTCTCAAATCGAGACTCCTTGTAAAAATGAAAAAGTTTCTAAAACCGGCAACAATTATTTTCTCCTTAAAACAACATAAAACCTCGGAAGTAAAAAGCCATCCACAACGAACATCAAACCAAACCAACTACAGCCTACAGTCATGAATCATGAAATGAAAACCTGTCCATCTGGGGATTCGAAGGTAACATGCATGAGAGGACAGCTACCCATTTCTGTCCCAATTAAGGACCTTCATCCGTCCTTATATGCGGAAATACACCACAGAAATCACCAACCCACTTTTTCCAATCCATATAATTCCAAAAGATAAGGTATGCCCCGTATAACCAGACATTAAATTTGAAATATATATATAAGGACACACATATATAAATATATAATTTAATAAAATATA